CACACACACACACACACACACACACACACACACACACACACACACACAAACGTTACCTAGGTGGTTGCTAGGTAACGTGACAACGCCCCAATAATATGTGACACCGATAAGAAATTTCAGGGCTCTAAGATGTACCTGTGTGTCAGGTTTGGGTGCTCAGCTCCTGATCATATAGGAGGTTTTCATGATGTACAGACAGATGGAGATTTTGTGTATTAGAGTAAGATTCCACTCCAGCTCCAAATGCAAACGTCTACAATCAGCTACCTGTGTTAAGGTGTATCGTAGGGGATGCCGTGCGTGACGGAGGGTCCAGATCCAGCAAACTCTCAGGGGCAGGAGGCGGGCGACTCTTCAGAGACTTGGACCTCTTGGCTGAATACATGTTCTCCAGTTCAGCGTACACTGCTGACAGCTTACATGGTGAAAATGTGCAAACGAATATATAAATATATATATACTGGTTTGAGAATTCTTATCCTAACTCTTTAATTGCCATTATTATATGCATCTTGTCTCATTAAATTGGGCATGGCTACGTACATTAGTGAGGTTGTTGGGAGTTTCAGGGAGAGAGGTACCATCCCCTGACTGTCTCTCTCCTGGAGCTAGCCTCATCCCCGTCTCCAGTAATGGCTCTGCACGGTGGCCTATGATAACACAACCATTGGAAGAACTTAGACTCTTATGAGTGAGATAGACCCAAATATAGATTCCAGCTTTGCATGTGTTGTTAGTATTTGGGCTTTGGGTGGCTTGTGAGTTAGTGAGCAGAGTGAGTGAGATCAGCAAAGAGATATACTGGATTTAGACTGATGTTACTACATGACTGCATGGGATCATGTTAAATACATTAAATAATACATTAAATATGCAAATGTAAAAGCATGTAGTGATTTCAACAAAACTGTTCATATAAAAGAAGCTTGAAGAAAATTTAATTCTGATCAATAAGTGAATTTAAACAGGACCGTGTGGACAGGCACAATGATAACAATATCAGTGCTAATGGCGTCATGATCGTGATAGGAGTCAAGCGTGCCGAGGTGGTCGGGGTGTTAATGTTGCTGCTGATGATGACAGAGACAGTAAAGTTCAGTACCCATGCCCAAGTGTGTACCAATGACCAGGTCATCAGAGCTACGTCCCCTCACACTGCTCCTGTACGTGGTCCCTGTCACCCTCATGGAACTGCTACGGCGGTGGGGCTCAGGGACAACCTCGGGCTCCGGAGGAGGGGGAGGTGGTGGTGGTGGAGGTGGAACTGGAACACACACACATGTATTGGCAATGCAGGAGTGTAAGGGGCTGCAGCACCTGGGTTGATTGCATTTCACCGAACTAGCGATTCTATTTAAGATCCCCAAAAATGACCCGTGATTATCGTCAGGACATACGTCTCTGCAGATTCTCAGTCATCCTGGTCATAGTAGTCCTAAGAGCTTGAAACGAAGTCGACTGACTTCTTTAAGTTGTTTGGAGATGTTCAAGAAGCTTCTTCAGTTCTTAAACCAAAAGATGGTGAGTCCCACAAATTGGAAAAATTGGGAAACTGTCTCTGAGGAGGTGGTCATTATGCATCGTAACATGAGCCAAGTCAAGCCATGAGTCATTGCTACCAGAGGCTTCGAATGAAGCCACAGTGAGTGGCGTATCGATTCTCAGCCTTCTTATCATATCACCTGTTGAGATCACCTGACACAAGATGTGAATGGGGGTTAAGCTGCCTTAGATGGAATCTCAAAAATGCATTGTAGGTGGCTGACAGTTGGTGTCGTAAGCAGCACCTCTGTTCAAAGATGGTGATTCACAGCGGACATAGATGACCTCTATTACTCCTCTTCTCGGTCCAAAATGTGAACACTGGCATCCTCAAAAGAGTGACCTTTGTCCTTTAGGTGCAGATGTACAGATGAATCTTGTCCTGTCGAGGTGGCTCTTCTATGCTGTGCGATGTGTTTATGGAGCGGCTGCTTGGGTTCTCCAATGTAGAGGTCTGAGCACTCCTCGCTGCACTGCACAGCATACACTACATTGTTTAGCTTGTGTTTGGGAGTTTTGTCCTTGGGATGAACCAGTTTTTGTCTGAGTGTGTGGTTGGGTCTAAAGTGCACTGGGATGTTGTGCTTCAAGGGAACTTTTTCTGCCCGATTCGTCCCGATCACCCCAAGTTTGTGTTCCAGAGGGTGGTGGGAGTCAAAGAGTAGGTACTGGTCTGTGTGGGCTTCCAGTAAACTTCAATGTTGAGGCTTCCATCCTCCGTAATACAACAGCACAGCCAGAAACATTAAATTATTTTCTTTGTATTAACTTTGCATCTTCCCTGAGGAACTTGTGAAGGCTTTGACTTCTTGAGTTTTGATTTTGACCCAGGTGTCACTGATGTATCTGTACCAGTGGCTAGGTGCTGTCTCTGTGAAAGAGCCAAGAGCTTTACTTTCCACTTCCTCCATGCAAAGGTTGGCTGCAATGGGTCTTGCTGGCAGTCTCCACTGCTTCATTTGAAGGTATGTGAAAAGTGAGACCACATCAAAGGACACTGCCGCTTCATTAGAAGAGTCTCCATCTCACACACAAACACATTTTCATAATCCATATGTAATACCAAGTGTCATAAAAATGTAAACTACAACAAATTTGTGCACTTACCTGGGGATTTGTATCCAAGAAAACGTGAAATCTTGCTCTGGCAGTGCTCTTGCTCTTCATACGTAAGCAGCTGGTAAACAAACTGCCAGATCACCTGTTTTGCTGGAGTGTCCAGCACTGGGAACACGTCCACGATCAGAGTGTCAACATTCCTGTCATTGAAGCACAGGCAACGGGACAGAGATCACCTGGCTGTCCAGTTAGAGGTCAAAGGAATAAGAGGGTAACAGGAAAATTTGAACTCAGGTGTATGGCCATCATCTATGTAGTTGGCCCAAGTTATTGAACTGAACTGAAATCCAAACCCACAACTTAATTTGCTTCTAGCTGAGCAAAATATAACCATATTAATATATTACTAGCAATATTATTGAGTCACTAGCTTTCTCTATCTCCCCCACAATCTATGGTCTCTATCCATACTCTCCTTTTCTCCCTGTGCTTTGCTTACCTATGCTGGAAGAAGTTCTCCAATGCTTTGCAGATTGTGTATCTCTCCTGAATGGTCAGCAGGTGCTCCAACTGCTGCCCAAAGGTGCGACCCTGAACCCTGATACTGGGAGGCAGAATCTCTGCCACCCACTGGAGGGAGCTGAGCACAGGAGAGCGGGCCCGTTCTGTAGGAACGCCGCCTCCTGCAAGGTCCTGCTCTGCAAGGGTAAATGTAGGCGGCCCATCCTCCACTACCAGTGTGGGCATGGCACCGCTTCCCTGCAGCATGGACACTACCTTTTCATGGGAGGAGGTCCTGCAGGCGGACAGATGGTATCCAGGATGTCAAAGGCATTTCTACCAGTTATTTAGTAGAAAAGCTAAAACTTAATATTTAGTGATGTCACTACTACTTATGCCATCCAAATAACCAGTAACCAATGAATGAAAAGTTGATTTGGGGGGTACTTTCTTGTCATATTTTGTCTTACTTCAGTCTTGTAATATATTCAAAGGCTCCAAATTTTACAAATGAAAAAAATATCTTTAACAGTGGGACCATAACAACATGTTTATGCTAACTTCCTATCACTTTTCTTCTTTTTTATTTCTTTACAAGCAAATTGCTTTAGGATTTGCACTGTTTTATGCAAAGAATATGTGCAGTTTATGCAGTTCAACCTCATGTCCAGTCCATTGAGAAACAGGATGCGGTCTCCTGGTTTTAGACTGGCTTTGTCTGCAGGACTTCCTGAAGAACAGAGAAGGAATGACAGACAGTTTACCTATATGGAGTTCTTATTGAAGTCCATTATCTGCTTCATTCTTACCAGGGATCACGGAGTCAATCCACACTGGAGCATGGCCTCTGAGAGTGAAGCCAAAACTCATGTTGCCCTTGCAAACTCTCACTGTCCTAAAGAAGCAAATTTAAGCTTCAGTTAACAACCATACTCAGAGCTCCTTTGTTGTAAAAGAAAAGCAGGTCACCTGAAATAATCTATCACATTCAGGGGCTAAATCAGCACGACTGTAGTAAATATTAGAAAACAGGTTACAAGAAAGCCCTCTTAAACTTTTAAACATCATTATAATAACATCCAGTGGACAGAAACTGTTACAATAAATGGGGTAAAGTTCATTAATTGTCAAGCTCAGTGAATGTAGCCTTGAGTCACATAACATAGTTAAACATAGTTCGTCTGCCTTTTCTGAAAGAAGCTGAGCAGACTTCCATATTCAGCACACTACTTTAAATTCACATCCTGCATGAACAAGCCTACTTAAATATGGACAATCTGTCCCCAGGGAGCTGTATAACGAGGAGATCGGGAGTGTCTTGTGGCGGTTTACTCCCATAACTTTAGCAGAAGGTGAAAGGGTGCTTAAATCATGTTTAAAGGTGTTTTTCAAACACCTCTCAGCATTAAATCTTTAAATGAGTTTATATGAGTGGAAAAGCGAGTGACGTCAATTCATGATGAAAAACGGCATCACTGCAGGAAAAGAGAGCAGGCGTGACTGTCCTAATAGGTTTACGTCGCCACTGGTTTTACCACTTAAGGGTCTATTTTTCACTGAAATCCTACATGTTCCAGTTTAAATAAATTCCCTGCTTACACCGAGACGGCGGTTCAGGCAGTTTTGGGGGTTTTTTTGGAAAGGTGCAGTGATCAAACATAGGAGGATAGACAGTTATTTAAAGAAACTGGCATCTTGAAGACTAAAAATGACATACACTGTGTAGCTGAAGCCAGCACACTCTGGAACTGATTAAATGTTAGCAGAAAAAATCCATATTTCTTATACTGCTCATTATTTTTGCAGAGGTGGGACTTGTGCACCTCTATCTTTTTGCTCTAAATAAACTTTAAGGAAAACCAAAATCATTGTTACTTAACACAGACCTGCAGTTTGTGGTGGTGCCACTGGAGTGGCCAGCTATGAGTGACGTGGTCTTGCGCATGCCTCGGGCAGGGGGTACCACACCTTCCTCTGCGTGGGTGCGTGGCACTGAGCTGGCGCGGGTGGAGACAAGAAGGCGTTCGGGGTGATCCTCGCTTCGGCTACGGCGAAGGTGGCTGCGGCTGGGGTCACTAAAGCTGCGCCCCTTCAGCCGGCTCATCAGGCTTTGGGAAACCACTTCGTCAAAACGCTCCCGGTGCTTCTTGGGAATGAAGATCCTGACAAACATTGTGGGATCAGAACAAACCCCAGAGAGACTGGATAAGCTTTTACAGCAAAGGAGGAGCAGTTTCCAGTTCAGCTTCTCTTGTGTTCAGTCAGTACCCAGCAATCTTTTTTTTTTTTACATTTGTACAAGAGATCAGTATCATATATAATAAAAACAAGCAGTATTTCACCCTAAACCTTCTAAACAAAAATCATATTCTCTATACTAATGTCTCAAAACATCTGTTGTCCGAGGTATCAAAACTGCAGAGGGATTCTTGTTCTGATTACGTATTGCTCCAACAGCAGGATCCACTTAATTGGCTTAAAAATAGTTCAATCCGAATCATCTCATGGGAGTGTCGAGGCAAGCAGAAAGAACTGGTCCAACATCTGAGTGTGTGTGTGTGTGTGATTTTCGTGAGAGTTTGCATGTGAGTGAGAGAATGAAAGAGAGAGACGAGCTTTGTTGTGTGATCCTGTCACATTGGCGGCTGCAGGTAAAAGTGTTCAGTATCAGTGACAGCTCACTGCTAATATACGAAATGTGAGGAAGCTCAGTGCAAGAGCCACCTCTGGGAGAAAGCACTTCATTCCCCCCCTACTACTGTTATTTTGCCCTCCCATCATCTACTCCAAATGTGGGTTTTTTTCTTCTTAAAGGAAAAGCAAACCCTCACATCAAGTTGCCATTAAATTTAGTGTGTTAAAGGGTGTGTTATGAGGGTAGTGCACCCAGTTCCCCCGATCTTTTGTATGTTTCATGCACAGAGATTAAAAAAAAAACAGAGTTGTAATTTCTTTTTCAAATAATGAATCAAGCCAAAGAGAGCTCATATTTCAGATGCACAACCTCTCAGAAGCTTTGCGTGCATCAAAAAACTTGCTGCTATTTATTTGATACAAATTTCTCCCTTTAATGCCTACATCATGAACCTGATTTTTTCCAAACTGCACAATACATTTTTAAGCAATACACTGCTAAAAAAATTAGCCAAATATAGCAAATATATTTATGATATATGGAAATTATTTTCTTAATTTGTCAGAAGAACACCCTATTTTCCAAAGATTTGAATTTTCTCACAATTATTTCATGGTTCAGGCTTTGAAGGGTTATGATCTTTAGCATCAGCTTTAAACACTGATAAAGAACCATTTTCTTACGGTTTCTACTCACACCCAAACCTGACATTTGCCACTGATCTTTTTAGATTGCTTGAAATGTCTGGTCCCATTAAACTCTCTTGCAGTCTTAGTGCTGTCTGCTGGTTTATATTTGGCCAATTATCTGCAAGAACAAGAAAATTGCACAACAAAGCAACAGAAGTGACCTAGAAATGGAAGAAATATTGCCAATAACTGTTTTGGAAAGTGTTCTATCGTGTGCTCCTTCTTTAAATATAGGGCGCTCCTCTGTTACACATACGCGTGCACCTCCCCGCCACCTTTTCTCTTTTGCATATCTTCCTCCCCATCCTGCCTACAAAATGATGCTCCCTCGATTCTCAACACAACTCTCTCTATCTCTCTAACTTCACCGTGAATCTCCTGGGTGCTTCCACTGTTGCAGAGCAGGAAAGAGTGCTTTGTTTTTTTTCAGAGTGCACCAGTTCCAGTGTGGCTCCATGTACACAGCATAAATTCTGATTTAAATCCCAATAAGGCTCAGCGGCGCACTTTGGATTTCAAAGCTGTCACAGTGATTTTAGAGGTACATTTGGGAATATCGTTAGGAGGCAAAGATTAGATTATTCTCAGTTTTGTAGTTTCTTAAAAATCCTTGCTTATGTAGTGTGTTGCCTTCATACCAATATCTTAAGATGCAAAGCTGAGGGAATATAGATATTCACTCTCTAGAGAATTATTAACACAAAGTTATGACTCACTTAAACTTAAAGGTTTTTACAAGTGCACACTGATATACACCAGACCATAGCTTTAATTAAAACCAACCTGGAACACTGCACATTGATCGGTATCCAAAACCCAGCTATGCACAGGTGTTCCAAAAATACAGACTGAGACTTTTAAAACTTCTATAAATGAGGTCATGCACTCCCAAACTGTATGTTAAACCACTACCAACATCCAGTGCTCATCATCCACAAGAACAAAACACTCAGTTTAATACAGTCTCTAGTTTTGTACTGTTGGTAAGACTTGTGACATTTATTTTGCTTACTGGTTGCACCTGCAGCTTTCATACGGTTTATTACATTTATACAAGAACAAACCTGCAGTACACTTGTACGTATATTACAAGCATAACTCAAAGAGCACAAAGCCAGAAGCACTGCAAAATTACAGTTTGCTTTTCCACAGTGTCTCCTGGTACAGAAATTATTCCACCTTGACTCAAACACACTCACAAATACATATGGGAACTAACTGCTGATTCGCTGTATGTTTTTCAACCTCATTAACACTTAATGACTCTCGTGGTCTAACCCAGCCATGGACAGACTCGCAGCATCATCAGGTATTTTCCCTTAACTTGAATAATGGAAAAGCAGTCTGGATGCTTGCAGTCTCACTGACATAAGACCAAACCCATGAATACACAATGCACTTAATTATAGTCACTCTTATGCAAACCTTCTTTGCTTCACTGAAGAAAGACACACTAGATAAAGCAATGCTGCACATTTTTTTCCTATTCACTGATGTCAAAAACTGATTTATAACTGTCAGTTACACCCATCATCAGGGAAAAATGGAAACATGAGTGAGTGAGTGAGTTGAGGTGGTAAAGTTGCTTCAGTGACTATCAGATAATTGGTTTTTCATGTAACCAAACAGTGTAGTATGTCAAGAGGCGTTCCCCATGGTGCAATCACGGGCCCACATTAACTTTATCAAAAGAAGCTCTCTTCACATACTTCACAGATACAGTGTTTATTAATGCACAGAACATTGTTGAAGACTTGTGTTGAGGCTCATCTGGAAAATGTAGCTGAAATACAGAGTCTTTACAAAAGATTCAAAGACTGTAGTAAATACATGTCCACTTTCACCACAACCATAAGGTCTTCCTGTTTCCTCCTGCCTGGCAGGTCTCTATTCAACATAATTTGTCCAATATATTCACTATCCCTCCTGTGTATTTGTCCAAACCATCTCACCCTTGCCTCTTTAACTTTGTTTCCAAGTCACACTACCTGAGCTGTCCCTCTGATGTACTCATTTCTATTCCTGTTTGCTCCTGGACAGCCACAATAAAATTTCCTAGCATCTTCAACTCTCCCTACCTGTTTTCTTTTAGTGCCACCACCTCCAAACCATACATCATAGCAGGTCTCACTACCATCTTCTAAACCTCCCCTTTCCCTTTTACTGCTTTCTGTAGCATGTTGGGACAACCTCCTCAGTGTTATCAGTGACACAAATTCTTCCATAGGTAATGCTTCATCCACCTAAATTCATGTTAATTATGAACCCAAAAAGGTGTGTATGAGGGTGACAATGATTAAGTGCACTGTGCATTCATGCAGCAAAAAGTCAACTCTTCCCTGAAGGGCAGCAATGTGTTCTTCTGTAACACCAGATTGCTTGGTACTGCTATTCCAAGGACCATGCTCCAGTTATAAACAGCAATACATAAGAGAAAACAGTATCCATCCAAGCCAGCAGAAAGCCAGAGTGAGTGACAAAGAAAGAAAAAGTAGGAAGAAAAGGAAAGACAGACAAGCAGGAGCTGATGAAGTAACGGCAAAAAACGGAAAAGAGACTGATATGAAGACATGAGCTGTAAAATCTGATAGTGTCATGAGACTAGAAAAGAAAGAAGGCAGAAAACTAGAGCTCTTTCTAGGCCAGGGTCATATAACTATTGGGAATGAAGTTGTATGTTCTGCGCTTACACCCTATGTAGGCCATTCAACTTTCCTGAAAAACAGTCATACATCACCATGGTTCCCCGGACAAACGGAGTTGGGGGGAAATACAAAACAGAATGGGGCCAGTTTTTACACGTTTATCACATTTCATTCTGTCAGTTATTGGTTTCTTTTGCTGTCATCGCCTCTACTCCCTCTCTACATCCCTGTACTGTAACTCCGCTGAAACGATCCGACCTACGTCAAAGAAACTTCTACTTGTAAAAAAAAAAGAAAAAAAGTTTAGCTTAGCCAAAACAAGTGAGCAGAAACTTCAAAGCTTCCCTCCAGTGAAGCTGGATGTAGGCCTTGGGATGCCCTCAATTATAAGGAGGGCGAGATAAATCTATAATTAGGTCTGAGGGAGGGGTGGATCAAGGACATGATGCACAGAGGGATGAGTGACAATTGCAATCAGCTGGGAAACTCAGTGCAAGAAAACCATTATTATCATCATCATCAGACCCACTTCTGATCAGCTAATTTAACAGCTGGGCCAAGTATGAATCTGCAAACAGGAATCACACTATGTGACACGGTGAAGTTAAAATAAAGAGTGAAATTAAAAAGCCTCCAAAAGAAAATGCAAAAGTGGTTGTTGGGAGATGTCAAACTGAGTTTTGCTAAAATCTAGAGGCTTTCTCATCCCAGCTGGAATCTGATATTTCTAGTTTTGACATTTTCACATGCTAACACAAAGAGTAAAATTGATCATCATTACACACCTTGATAACAAGCCCACCAGATATAGTTGCGCAGCAGCGCTCCAGCAACTTCACATACAGCTCAGCACAACAACACAAAGCACAGTGAACACTGTTCTGAGATCAAACAAAAAGTGCCATACCGAAAGTGTCTGGAAAGGCTCCTATCCCTTCCCATGGCTCTTCAGGGCTTTGAGGAAGTGTCTGAGCTCAGTTAAGCAATGCAAATGCCTTCCCTCTGTCTCAGTTAGTCCCCATCTAGTTTTGAACAAACAACTCTCCCGGACAAAGGAGAAAGGAGAGAAAGATGAGAAACGCAAAGGTGTCCTGGATCTCAAAGGTGCCTGCTGCAGGCTCGGAAAGCAGCCAGATGAAGAACGAGACCAAATGAGAGAGAGGGAGGGAGCAATCTATAAGAGTGGCTGTGGTTTAAATCCTTCCACACCTCCAAAACATCCTCAGGCAGCATCATTAGCTCTTCTCCAACTTCATGTTTGGGGGAGCACTCTTTGTGCCTTCCCATCCTTTATCCTCGTCCTCCACAGGCACCAAAAGACAGAAGCAAAGGCTCGAGGTCAACACAGGGTTGTCTTCTTGGTCTCGGTTAAAGGATAATCCTCAGTATTGACTTGTCCATCATTCAGCAGTGAGAGGTAGTGAGTGACAAATCTTCTCTTCCCTCAGTGGAGGAAAGAAAGAATGACAAGAACAGAGGAGTAAGTGAGGAGGGAGAGAGGAGAGAAGTGGAGAAGAGTGTGGAGCCCCAGTGGAATTTCATAGGCAGGTCAGCACAATGAAACCGTAATGTGCATAAGTGAACATGCAGGAAGTTTGGCAGTTGTGACTGTGTGATTCATCCCTATTCATTACATGTATGCTAGGTAGGAAATGTATCCAAACTGGTGCAAAAACTACCAGAAAAGACTGATTCATAAAGCAGAAGCTGAAAACATTTTGGCACTCAAACACAAAAGGATGTGAAAGTCTAATTAATTCACACCTTTGAAGTCTATATATGGATGCAGTGTCAGACAAAGGCTGACACTTCACTATACTCACAAGTTATCAAAACACTGCACAGCCACATGAACAAAAGAGCTAATAGGTACTCCCAGCTTGTCGCTAATTTCAATTGTTAAGCACTTGCTGACCCCTGGGCTTTACAGCATTTAAGAATTGACACCGGCAAGTGCGCCAGAAACCTAAGAGAGACTTTATTAAAAGAAGTAGGCTGCTTAAAAATAGAACACATCCTTTGGGAGGAGGGGAGGCGAATCAGCGATGGGGACAGAGGCAGACTGAGCAGCGTGTGGCCCAGCTGGTCAAGTTTTCACAAGGCGGACAAAAGAAATAGTTTCATGAGCTGTTAAGCACACCTCAGATCCTCTGACACAGACCCCTCATTATCAGAGGGTGGGTGGAGTGTTCTCACATTCGTGTGTAAATGCATGTGCATGAGTGTGTGAGGGCTGTCGTAGTAAGTAACAGTGATTGAGGGACACAGACCGGCAGATTGGGTGGCAGAAGGAGAGCAAACACTTGATTCTCCGCGCTCAGAACGACGACACAGGCACCAGGCTCATGACGGAGCACACTAATAATCGTATATCTTGCTGTCGGGCATCTTAATTCCTTAGTCAGCGGCTTGGATTCCCAGTACAGCTTTTCAGATCACTGTGATTAGGAGTTATAGCACAATCAGTATACTTAATGAGACAAAAAAGGCATTCAGTATCAGCAAATTCAGGCTAGGGTAACAGCTCTGAATAGCTCCGTCATGCTGATAAGTTAAATGCAATAAATGGGGAACACAGTTTACTAGTTAGCACCAAAATGCATCTGAAGTTATAAGAAAGGTCACAAGCAAATAGCTGAAATTATGACAATTCATTGTGAGGGGATCATGCACTCAATTTTGTGGACCTTGTTCTAATCTGGAGATTTTTCACTCAAAACGAGCAATGTAAACCTCATGGTTTTAATAAAAGGTGCTCACTGGAAAGTCAAGCCTATAAACTGCAGTCAGAGGGCTTTTTCATGGGGAACCATGAAAGTCTGAGCAAAATTAGCTAAGAAGACATTGCATTCATATTACAAATTTCATTGTCCACAGAAACTGTTTACATCGACCAACACAACGCCTGAGGCACAGCTCCTGGAAGCACAACTCCATACGGCTCCCACCACAGACAAACTAAAGATTCAGCTGAAACATAAAGACCTTTCTTCTAAATGTGGAATATAAAGTTTATTTTTAGCCTTTCTTGAGACTACAAACTCAAAAAAACCCTTTCAAATCTTTTTTTTTAGCTGTAGGCAACATAACAGGCAGACACAAAGACAAAAGTGTGGAACGTAGCACATGTACATCAAATCCTTTCAAGGTTATAGCATTCCTGATTCAGCACCACAGTATGGAATTGTGGGTAAAAGAAGGTAGAGTTGATTTTTTTAAAGACAGACTCAGACAATTATTGTTAGAGTTATTGCTGAAAGTGAGAAAAACAGCTCAACAGTCCTCAGTCCTCTATGGGTGCAGCTAATGCATAATTGATGGCTCTCCTGTGGACAACAAACATTGCAAACCATTTGTTTTTCCCAGGCAGCTTTCTAAGGATGGAAATGAGCCATCAGTGCTGTGAGACAGACATATGTGTTCAAATGAAACTGAAATGGCTGGACAGCAGCTTTGTTTTTTTAGCTGCAGGTAGAACAGATTCGTCACCAAAAAAAAACGAGGCACAGGGAAAACTCATCACTAATTGATTGTAACAAGTCGGCCGTCATAGAGTGCTTTAACAGCAGTGCAGTTTACTTGATGACCAATCAGAAATGACCACACACGACAGATGCCAAGGAAGGCAAACTCAATGACCAGTTACATGCTGAAAACGCTCTGAAAATTAATCGTGACAAATTGTTCGGTACTCACCTGAGACAGCAACTCATAATGTCTCCCAGTATGGAACTTCAAAGCCACGACTGTGTGGATGGAGATTGAGCATCTGCATGTTTCACTGTGTGTTACTATGTGTGCAAAATCTCATCCACCGGCAGCAAACTGGCTGTAGCAGCTAAGAGCTGTATGCAGAGGAGGGAATAAAGAGCATCCAGTAATGTGATCCACACAAAAAACTGGTGCGTGTATCAAAGAGTGCATCACAGCTGACAGGGAGATGTGGGAAAGAAAGAGACCAAGCGAGAAAAAACCAGAGTGAGAGTGAAGTGAGCAGAAAAGACAGAGAGAGCGGAAATGCAAGCGTGTGCAGCTGTGTTGTGGTTTGGGTTTTGATTTTCCAATGATTGCTGAGAAGGAAGAAATGCAATATTCGGCGGTCACACTTCTAATCATACGCTTTTTGCATACTATACCTGAGGTGGGGGGGAAACAGAAGAGTGACATTCAAGCACCCAAGAGCAGTGTTAGACATAAAAGAAACTTATTTATGTGTGGTTTTGACGTGTCCCTGACACAGTAAAATGCTGAATGAGCAAGCAAGAGGCAGGGTACAGCAGTCACACAGCACTGTTCACAATAACAATAAAATAAATAAGAAAATGAAGTGCCATAATAGCCAATAAAAAGGCACCGTAAGACACGATGAAATAAACAGGTCTTTTAAAAATAACTGAATAATAATGATTCAATAAAATTCCCCATAAACTGGGGAACAACTAACAAATTCTGAGCCTGTGAAGACAGCGAGCAGCAGTGTATTTTGTAAGAAGCTGAGATAAGAAAAAAAAACTGGCTGTTTAGTGCTCTGTATGTAAATACAAGAATTTCCTGAAACATATTGGAACCATTGTAAAGACTATAAAATGTGAGTACGTGAGCTTGCATTTTATACAGCTTGGAGTAGTGAAAGAGATGATTATAATCCAAGTCTAAATACTAAATATCATATCAGGTTTGGCTTTGGTCTGAAACCAGATGTAAAAATGACCAGAACTGTGTTGCACTGTGAGTCTCCCCCTCATTGGTATTCCAGGGACATCTAAGTACGGGAGGAACAGTTTTAAGAAACTCCCGTTTTTCTGAGAAAGTGTTGTTAATCACTGCATAAGAAGAAGTAAATCATTGAAGCCAATCTTCTTGAAAGATGCACATGGCATTTAGTCAGGCTTGTTTTACCCCCAAGTCTCTCTCTGATTGCATATCTGGGTGAATGAATAGCTACCTGACACTGTCAATCAGTTGCTGATGCTCCTCGGTGATCAGAATATCAGGCAGGGCCTCAGCCAGACTCTCCACATCCCTCTCAGCAGCGTACTGCTTTAGCACCTCAAACAGCTGTTCCTTCACATCTGGCTCCTCTCCTAACACTTCCTCCACCTGACAGAGAAAGAAAAAAAGGCATCATTAAATATGTTAAGTTTCAATTCAAAACATGCAGAAAAATGATAGAAAATTACTTTTTTATTGAACTCCATGGCCTTGTGGGCCCGGCTCTCCCTGACGCTATCACCGCTCTGTGACAGCACCCTCATGCTGCTGCTCAGCCGCTTGGGTCGACGAGCCATGCTGAGCACACCCAAACGCAGAGGTCGTCCCTGAGCTGCTTTTATCATGGCGGCTGCTGTTTCGTGGTGCTTCACTGGAATGCCGTTGACCTCCATGACATAGTCCCCTGCCTTGAGGCCACTGCGGCCAGCTGGACCATTAGGCATGCAGTCCTCAACCATTAGGGGGCTGTCTCCCACAATGGTGAAGCCAAAACGGCCATCTGGGCCAGGGTTGATGTCGATCTGAGAGGGCAAAAAATGAATAAAGTTTGCCACCTTTGCACCGTCTTCACCATTGTAGAGCTGAATGTGGGTTATTGACTTTCAGCTGACCTGTTCAATCCGTGACACCACCCCGATGCTCGGTGGGACCGTCTTGAGGGTCTGAGCCAGAGCGATCAGCGCCGGTGTGCTGAGGTTGGTCACATCCTGGCCCTCTATGTCCACCACCTGGTCACCGGGCTGTAGGCCAGCCAGGTAGGCACTACTGCCTTCTACAACAGACAGGATATAGCTGGGCCCAGTGCCTCCAAGTCGGAAGCCAAATGCCTCTGGCCAGTTCTGATTGGTGGCTGGGAGGCCGAGGTCTGGATAACAGAGAGAGAAATAAAACTTGGAGAGACGCAAAGAAATAGCTCATTTATACATTTCTTGGGCGGAATTAGGTATTAACAGAGCAAAGCCTCAGACTCAAAGATGGTTATATCAATAGGCACTTTACGAAGGGGTGAAACCATCTCTGCTTTACTGCTTATCGCATGTTCTGAAAGCATAAAAAAAGAGCATTTTTTTATGCTCCTAATACAGTGGAGGTGGTTGCGAGCTGTAGAATAGAGGTCAAACCGACTGTTTAAATGGGCCAACTGAGATATGGAGCCGCTTCTAGCTGTAGCAGCAGGTGCACTGGTCTATTTAATGAAACTGCAAAATTTCAAGGCACTCTCTCTGTTTTAGAAAGATTGACTTTTAATAAACCAAAGGAGGTTATTTATGCCTGCTGCTATCTAGCCCACATGTCAAACCAGCGGCCTTCCCCTGGTCACTGGCCTCATTAAGCTGCTGTAGGTCTCCCAGTAGAATCACTCGTCTTCCACAGCCATCCGAATGCATCGAAGATATATGTAGGACATTACTGGGACTGTTTAGTGCACTTTGACTTTACGTGTAGATGCTTTTATTTTGTTCCATAATCTTTGTCTATGTTCTTGTCTTTTGCAGCATCCATATTTGTATTTGTATTACAGTGTTGCTTATTAGAACCAGCTAATTTGTACATAGTTGTCATGTATGTGGCCAAGATTGAAAACTTAGATGCAAGTTATTTGATCAAACAAGTCAAGCCAGTGCCGCTACTCCATGAAAAATATAAATTATGACATCATGATCCCAAGGCAGAAAACCGGAAAGGAAAACACATTAAAAAATATTTACCAATCGCAACAACCAGCACCAAAGAATTGTTTTTCTTCTTGCAAATGATTCGTCTTGTAAAGACACAGAAAAGAAAAGAAAGAAAGAAAAAAGACTAATTAAAAAGCTCAAATTCTCTGCAAGCCTTTGTAAAGTAATCTGAAAATGTCAGACTCTACTTCAAAACAAGACATAAAAAAACAGATCTTACCAGAGCACAGGGATGAATATTCAGGGCGGTGAATACAATACATATATACAGACTCAAAAACCCACAGAGTTTGATCTCAGAAACAAACAGTAGCTGATTAAGGCTTTGAAACAGACTGGAAAATCGTTACTACTGAGATGTGAATCATAATCTTCTCTCCCTGCAAGAACATAAGCGGCACTATCGAGACTTTCTTGTCCTTTTCTCTCCGGCTTGTGACACAGATACACATCTGAGCTCCAGGTCCTTTTAAAGCTTCCCTCTTTATCTGACTTCCACTAGATGAAACACCTCGGGAATAGCATAAAAATAATTATCATTCTGAGAAATAGACTTACAGAAATCTTTGGAGGCACTCCGAGTTCCCGACTTGCTCTGGCGCAGGGAGAAGCGGCCCTTTCTGCTCAGGAAACGCCTCATCCTTGCCCGGCTTGCGGCAGGACACGTTCCAGCCAGCCTATCTTCACCCCCAGCTTGGGGGCCGATGCAGCCAAAGAGTGTCCCAGGACACCCTCACGCTGCTCCTCACCTGAGCTCACTACCTCCAAAGGCTTCTACCCACGTAAGTAAATCAAGTGTACCTGAGAGGTCACATTTGGAGATTACGTAGGCCAGTGCCTCCCCCTGTTCTCAGAGAAGTAGCAATCTGAGGCAGTGGTGGTGGAGGCTGGAGGAGAAGGGAGAGTGTCTGAAAGTCAGGTTCTCCATCCTGGGTGAAGCAGCCTCAGTCCAAACCCTGTGGCTGACGATCAGGAAACTGGGACATGCACACTTGGTCCTGAAATGGTTCTTTGCGAGAAAAGGTACAGCGAAGCCCCATTTTTCTATAAATACCTTTCTCTCTCTCACTCCCAGCCTCTCTCTGTCTCCCTCTGTAGCTCATGTGCATGAGGCCCTCTCAGAGGGCTGAGGGATGACCCAGAAACTGTAGAGTATGAGCCAGGGACACGTCTCTGATTATAGCATCTGTGCTAACCTTGCTACTGGAGCACTGGTTACAGAGATGGAGCCTACAGATAGGCTCAAGGTTATACACACATCAAATACAACAGTGGTTTTTTGGAGGTTTTTTTTTTTTTTTTTTGGCTAAGCCAATCATCCACAGTGAATTTGCCACAAGACCACAGGGCTAATGGATCAATAGATCCAGTTTGTCTCTGTAGGAATTGTGACAGAACAGTGGTGCTTTCATGTTACAAAGGAGCCACAGCAGTGGATGCTGTGCTTTAGGTGTGTATGCTTTCAAAACAGGTAGGATTCCCAAAACGGCAGGTGGTGTTCACTCTACAGCAGTGGTAGGCAACCTTTCTGATGACGAGTGCCATCTAAAATTTCCTCAGAAGTCAGTGTGCCATATGATTGCATTAGCAATAAATTTAATAGCGCTCTATATTAATAGTTACACACTATATAGAACCACTTTATAGAATTATATTTGTTCACAGCTATCAGCAAATAGTTATCAGCTATTTTGAAACAAAAAACGACTTTTTATCCATAACAGCAAATGAACTGTACAACAGAAAATACAAATGCTATTTATGGTCTCCTCACAACAATGATAAGAAAAATAAACTGAGCCAATATGGCATGTCTGTTAATACACTCTGATCTCTGGTCTCCCACTCAGAGACACAGGTCTCCGAGTGTCCAGCATTCAGACACTCATGTGAGAGAAAATCTGCTCACACAGATATGTAGAGCCAAGTACTGTCAAAAAGGCCTCTGCAATGTTCTGAAGACAGTTAAACTTGTCAGGTAGTGATGCCCAGCAGGTAAAAATGCAAGCTCCATGAACACACACAGCTGTGCATTCCAGCTGCTTCGATGTTGCATTAACTGGCATTAACTCAGCCAGTTAATGCGAGAGAAGTCTAGCTGCTCATTAAAGCTTTCTGGTTTGATCAGAAAATAAAACATTGGTCCATACACCTGAAAGTCGCAAAAATGCATTGTGTCTCGAGTCTACGGATGTATCCGTGTATTTCTTCCTTCCCTTATAACTTCCCTTCAACTCATTAATGTCACCTAAACGGTAAACCTGTTTCTCCATCACCTGTTCAGCTCTGATGATTCAGTAAGGACATCTCCTGGTTTCATTTTCATGTTTCCCTCTCAACACACATCCAAACAGACATCATGACCAGCAGCTTTACAGCTGTGGCTCCAGCAAACATCAGCTGATACTGGAAATTAATATTAAATCAATTCTAACAACAGCTGATCAAGCTTAAACGTGCTGCTGTTGTTTAGCGCGACATCCACTGATTTCCTCTTTCTGGCGCAAGGCGGGCGATAAACAAACAAGAGAGAAAAGCCGATCAGCTGATCATTGATCAGTTTCATGATTGAAGTAGCAACAGGAGAGGGAGAGGAAGAGAATGAGAGAAGAGTCAGTCACGGGGCAAACTGTGTTCCTTTTCACCTCAATACGAAACGCGTAATATTTTCTCTGAATACGGGACATTCCGTCTTTTTACAGGACGGTTGGCAACTCTACTAACTAACCTTATGAATAAAATAAAGTTCACTATCAGTAACATCATAGCACCCACCCAGCTGCAGTACCAGTTGTTGTAACTGACTGTAAAAAGTCAGCATAACGAAAATAAACTCCACTTAAACTTGGTTTATATCTGACCCAGAGAGACTGCAGGTCATAACTCCTTACCTGAAGTTCAGTTCACACTCGGACCGGCGGCCGCCTAGGGGCTCTCCTCTTGCCTCCCCTTTCCCTCATCCACCTGCTGGCCTCCACCACTTGCTAATGTTACTGAATCTGAGGAAGCTCAGCCATAGCCACCACCAAACTACTGAGTTATTTTTACACACCGGCCAGCATCTGGCCAATCCACCATCTTTCATTGTTTATACCGTTACAAAATAAATAAATTATCGGCCCATAATCACCATCGGCCAGACTAGCTATGGTCGTGCCATCAGTTAACCCTTCGCGTGCCAGCCGTGGCACGCGTGCCTAGGGTTGCCGACCCCAGCTCTACAGCCACATATACACTTCTACAACAAAGAAATAAGAACTAATTTAAG